ATAACTACCAAACCGTTGGACTTACGGGAAAATTGCATCAGACCTTTCTTGTAGAGGATGACGAGATCTACAATTTCCATGTAAAATTTTTTCTCTAGCGTCAATAGTTAACGAGTAATTTGCAAAAAACTGTTTTTTCGTTTTTCGTCAATAACTCGTTAAATATTAACGCTAGTGAAAAATTTTTACATGGAAATTGTAGATCTCGTCATCCTCTACAAGAAAGGTCCTATGCAATTTTTCTGTAGATTCAACGGTTTAGGAGTAATTAAGGAAAAATGAAATTTTTTGCCACAAGTTCGCCGTTTCGACGCTGGGATGGTCGGATTTTGTCAACATCAATAAAATGCCAAATAATCATACGTAACTCGTTAAATATCGAAGTTAGAAGGAAAACAACTTTTATTTCAATCATTTTTCGCAATTTTGAAAGAAACAAGCTTTTTTTATTACGTGTTTTAAGCTTCTGATAGAGATCTTCGACTTATACAACCTTAAGGGCTCGTACAACTGTAAAAATAAATTGGCATTAAAATAGTTGAGCTTGATGATGGCTGACCGAGTCTCGTTTTCTGATTTCAGCGTTGCTGAGACAGAGTATGTCTCCGGTCGCGGACACGTTAATCGGCGGCTCCAAGAGCTCGGTCTCGCAGCCGATAATCGATTACTCTCGTTACGTGAGGCGTTACGCGTCCGGTCAAGAGTGCGGTAGCTCGTACTGTAAGGAGCTCGGTTGCCGCGAGCATTTCCACTGTCTGGACTGCAGCGGTAGGGTGTTTGTCAAAAAGGAGGAGATGATCAGGCATTTCAAGTGGCACAAAAAGAGGGACGAATCTTTGCAGCACGGTTTCATGAGGTACTCGCCGACGGACGATTGCTCAGAGAGGCACCCGGGTCGCGTGTGCCCGCATAACCGGAAGCAGACGCATTATCACTGCATCCACGAGAACTGCGACAAGGTTTACATATCGACCTCGGACGTGCAGATGCACGCGAACTATCATAGAAAGGACTCGGCGATCATACAAGAGGGTTTTCAGAGGTTTCGCGCCACCGAGAGTTGCGCCACCGAACATTGCCCGTTCGCCGGCCAGCGGACCACGCACTTCCATTGCCGGCGAGCCGGCTGTCGGTTCACGTTCAAAAACAAGGCTGACATGGGTAATTGTCCTTCAAAATTAATTCTCTCCTGACTGAAGTACAGCTTGGTACAATGATTCTCGATCTCTTTTTTTATTAGTCTCAGTTTCCTATGGGGACAAGTTTTGAAAATAATAATAAATCTATCCCTCCTCATTTCAAGGCTCGATTAACATCAGATTTTCTAGAATCGCCCAAAGATCAGTTGAAGAACTCAGTCCTACATTAATATTGTTTTGCATTGTAAATAAATGTTTAGAAAGTTCGTTACGATTTTTATAAAAAGTTTGAAGACAGTATATATGTATTATTTTGTTCCACACTCTTTCTCCATCTTTAATGAACAAACAATAAAAATGAACGGTAGTTGCTTGTACAGAAGTTTGAAAACAGTTGGTTTAGTGTTAAAACGACAGTAGTACTGGTATTCAACAATTTCTAACATACTCTCTTATTTCTTTTACAGACAAACACAAATCGTACCACATAAAGGACGAGCAGCTGTCCCGGGATGGTTTCAAAAAATTCATGAAGTCCGAAGCCTGCCCGTTCGAGCAGTGCCGGTTCTCCCGCGTCTGTAACCACATACACTGTATACGGCCGCACTGTAGCTACGTGCTCCACTCGATCGGTCAACTGTTCTCCCACAAACGGAAGCACGAGCGTCACGAGACCGAGCTGGCCTACCGGAAGTACAAACAGATCAGTGCCGTCGGTGGCGTACGACCGCCGGGCTCATGGCCGCCGGACGACCTTAGCTCTCAAAGCCTATCCTTGAGTCTGAACGGCGAGAGTTCAAACGAGGGCAGAGGCTCGCCCTCTTATTACTCTCTAGACGATTCGTTCCAAAGTGCAAGCGATTTGGCGATGGATCTCACCGCGCCGGCTACCACCGTCACTGCCAGCGGAAGTTCCACGATCACCGCCGACCAGCAGCAACAGAATCAGCAAAGTCAACAGCTGACCGCGACGGAGTTGGCGTATCTGTTACCGGCGAACGCAGACTGCCCCTGTCACGCCGGAAGGGAGCATCACCATTGCGGCTTGGACCGCTGCGGTGCGGCGTTAAAAGATCCTCGCGAGGTCCGGGAACATTTAAGAGAGCATGAGACTCAGGAACGTATTACAGACGCGTTCTTTGAGGAAGGTGGATGCGACGACAGCTGCCCGTACGCTGATAAAGAAAAACACTATCACTGCAACTGGGAGAACTGCCGAGAAGTGATTCTGTCTACTGACAAACCCTTCCGACGTCTTCAACACTATAAGATCCACGAGTACAGTCGCCAGTTGAATTTATCATGCTCCTCTCACGCTCTATCGTCTGACGTGACGTTGACCCACTTGACCAATATCGACGCGATGTTCAGGCGGAAACGTGGCCGGCCGCCTAAAAACCGAGTGATCGAGATTTGGTCCGGAGGTGACCCAACGACGCACACCCATGATTCTCCTCAAGCGATCTTCACCAGTTTCAAACTACCCAAGCCTCAGACTCCCAGCTTGATGAATCCAAACCCGGTGACGGAGGAGAGGGAAGGCAGCGTCTCGCCGTCGAATAGTTTAGGCGAGCCCGAAGGGTTCACGACTTACAATCCTGACGGCTGCCCAGACTTGGCCTGCGTTTTGAGGTCCACCAGACATCACCACTGTTCTCAGCCGAGGTGTCACTTTTCCACGGACAGGCCGGACCAACTGTTGATGCACAGCAAAGATTTTCACGATAACGTCGACATACCACCGGGTTTTGCGTTTTTCGACAAGATGGTCGACTGCCGGCTGCCCGGTTGCCACAGCAATCGCGTGAATCGGCATTTCCATTGCACCAGACCAAACTGCGGCTACTCGTTCGTGAGGTACTCAACGATGGCCATGCACGAGAAGCAGCACAGCGGCCACTGCGACGACAGGCCGTCCTCCGAGTACTCGACGAACGCTCAGGAATGTCAGACCCAGCCGCTGATGGTGCAGGAAACAAAACCGAGGATCCAAGTGAAGAATCCTGCGGAGTTAATTGAGAAGCCGGAGGAGAGTCTTGTAGCTGATTTGGAGAACAGATCCATGAAGGAGGAGAAGGAGCCGGAGATACCCAGCCCCGATGCCAACAAGACGACCGGTGAGTAGTACTCGTTTTTGCCCGACACGAACCAGTGCACAATTTTGTACAGTTTTTATCATCACACGAGTTCTGTTTGGTAGCTACTTTTGAGATTTTTTTTACAATTTTGAGATTTGAAAAGATGCATGTCTCTCTGCACGCACACGCACCCTTAATTGTACATTAAACAGCACACCTTCGATTCCTTTTTTTTTTTTACTTACCGTCGAACGGGTAATCCTTCCGCAGCGATGCATTTTCTATGTGGGTTACATAGGCCACGACGTTAATACATATTGTAATCATGCATTTGCATCGCATTAATGTAATTTCAATACTGCATTTTAAATGGCACGTTTTAATGATACAAAAATAAATTATATCCAAGGAGAAGGTTTTGCAATATATAAAATTGCGTAAGGGTTGACCCGTACGTTTTTGATTCACAATTCGTATTGTAAAAGGAAAGGTGGTTGTAATCATAGATGGGAGGTATATTTGAAGTGTTGGTTGTTTGGTTGATTGTTGCTAGTGGTGAGGGCGGCAGGCACCTATTATCCGGTCAGCGGACCGCCGAGTGAACCCGCACTTCCGGGCGTCGTGCTATCCATGCGAACTTCCGTGCACCAAGGTTCGTGTTTCTCTATCGAAATTGCCTTGAAATTGTGTTGACATTCTCTCTCTCTGTCTAGTTTAGTTTATCGAAACGAATCCTCAGAGATCCACTCCGCCACTTTCCATTTATCATCCTTATAGAGTTCTTCAAGTCAGATCTTTCGATTACAGAATCTCCGGTCCTCCCGTCGACCAGTTCAGCCTCGCCGCATACCCTCTACGGACCAGAGCAAAACTGCGGCCGACCTTTTTGCAAATTAAAACGGAAGAACCATTATCACTGCAACGCGTGCAACCAGGCGTTCTCGGATCTGGATCGGCTGGTCGCTCACATACCGAAGCACTCGACGGGCGTCATCCTCAGCCAGCAGCAACACGACTTGACGAGTCAACCGACGAATCAATTGCAGCACGACTACTTGACGCAGTTGTCGCAGAAGCACGACTTCATGGCGCAGAACATTCAGAACTTCCAGACTCAGATGCAGCGGCAGATGCAACAGACGCTGGGTCAGATGAGCCAGCAGCAGGTGCAGCCGAAGGAGGTGAAGCTGGAGCCGACGAGATGCGGGTACGACGTCGGCGTCCAGAACGTTCCGAACGTAAAACGAGAGCCCACCGAAATCGTCAAAGACGAGGGGAACAGTTCGGTTATGGATACTAGCGAGAACGGGCAATTGTCGCAACCCGGCATACCTCCCAACGTTCAACAGTCACCGGTTCCAACTAGTTTCGAATTGGACCTTAGCCACGGATTTCACTTCCCGAGTCCGGCAGTGATGGCTGCGATGAATCACCATATAGCGTTGATGAATCAGGCTCTGCCACCGTTTCTGCAACACGGGGGCATGTACTCTGGTGCACCGGGATTGATGTTCGCGCCCGGCCTGCCACCTACGAATTTTCTACCTCCTGCCAAGGACGAAAATCCTTTGGCATCGCTCGCAGCGAATATGAACCTGAAAAAGTCGCTATCGCCGCCTGACAGCAATTCACCCGAGGCGAAGAAGCAAAGGCTTCATCACTCCATGAGAATGCTTAAAGACGAGCCGGTTCCCGAAGGATACGTCAGGTCAGTATCAATATTTCTTATAGTAGTTTATATGAAATATGCCCTTAGATTTTGACATTGTCTATGATAGATGTATCAAAACAATATTCTCTAAATAGTATTTGTACTTCAAGAAAGTAAAGGCTTAATTTAAAAGAATTATTATGATAATTTGTTCGAGTAATCATCGTCTAAACTTAAGCATTTTTCGACACAAGTAATTTTCACATTAAGTAGTATACTTTATTACCACTCTCCTCAGTTTACAGACGAACTCCATTTCATCTGTCGTGTTCTTGATTATTTCAGGTTTAGATTCAATGAGGACTGCAGGTACAGTCACTGCAGTTACCGAGAGCACCAAACGCACTTCCATTGCATGCGCCAGGACTGCGGCTACTCGTTCTGCGATAAGACGCGTTTCGTCCAGCACACGGCACGCCACGAGCGTCTGGACACGTTGATGGGCGGCGATTTCCAGCAATACCGGGCGAACGTGCCCTGCGGTCGAGCGCAGTGCGCGTATACCTCGTCGTTAGGCTCGATGCAGAACAAGGCGTCGCACTTCCACTGTCTTAAGTGCGACTTCGTCTGCACGGACACGAACAAGGTCGTGGCACACAGGCGGCAGCATGCGAAGCTGGACAGCATCGCCGCCGCTGGCTTCCAGAAGTTCACTCCCAGTCAGCCGTGCGGCGCGGTGCAATGCCAGCACTCCGGGAAGCAGACCCACTATCACTGTCTTCAGTGTCAGTACGCCGTCCTCGGACTGGCGCAGATGTCCGCTCACAAGTACCGGCACATGGACACATAACGAAGCTCTCGTTGGATCGACGAAGAGGCAGACATTCCTCGAGCGAAGATGGTTGCGTGTCTCTCCCCGACCCCACCCCACCCCCCGAGATCGATTATTATTAACCCGGCCCGGGCGACGGGGAGGAATCAGCGGGGCGCGCTGGATCTTTTGAATCGGTTTTCGATCCGATCGGAAACAAGAAAAAGACACGAGGAGAATCGAGAAATAAAAAAGACGAGACATTCCCGGCAGAATTTTGCTCGCGATTGTCCACGACGATAACACCGATTGGATGATTAGGAGCAGACCCCGACCGCGGCCTAGTCATTAATCTTCGAGTTTCGAATCCGGCCCGCCGACGCCGGTCGATTCGTTTATCGAATTCGTAACGTGTTTCGTGTCTTCTCGTTCGGACGCATCGAATAATGTCGGACCGTCGCGTCCGCCCGATGACTTCGTACTTACGAGGCAAGCAAGAGGTATCTACGATCGATGTCGGTCGATCTTCCAATTCGTCGGACGGCGAGATCCTCGGACATTTCTTTCTTCCTTTTGTCAAACCGCGAAGTGGCGCGGTTCAGGGAAGAAGGTATAGCCTGATTCGCTGAACACGAAACAAGTAGACAATAAAAAAAACACGGACGGCGAGGGAGCGATGATAGCTTTAGATTTAAAAAAATAGGCGAGGAGAAAAGACAAAGTATAATATTTAATAGCGAAAAGACCTTGTACATTTCGTTTTTCTTGTTCTTTCCCCTTTTTCTTTGTTCTTTCTTTTTTTTAGTAGCACCCGTGTACCCTCCGCGTGCTGCGAGTAGTATGAGTCAATAATTTAGACGACTTGGCTCCTATATCTAGAATTATAGTTTAGTTTTAATGTGTGTATGCAAAGAACTGAGTAGAGAATCAAACTATCATGGAATTTACTATCCATTTGGAGAAATACTGTTCGATATTGCCCAAAACTTATTTTTTTTGTACATCCATCGTTGAAGACCATTATTCAAAGTTTTAAATTTAATTCTCTTAAACTTTTAGTCAAAAATCGTTGGTCCTTTTAATTTTATATCTATTTGACGAAGATCTTTTATTTAATTTTTTAAATGTATTAATTCCAAATTTTTGGTCGAGGCAAAACAAAGGCGAGTTGAAAAGACAAAAAGCATTATGTCTAGTCCATTGCACCATCGATGAAAAATGTATGACCATTGCTGACCAATCTAAAAATAATTCAGCGCAGGAAATTTACTCATCATCAATAGTGCAATGATTTATCCTACGATCATCCACAGTTTTCCTTCTTCCTGTTTTTCTATAAACACCAAGTGGTAACGAATCGTACTAAAGATTACAAGTACCGCAACCAGGAGGGTACCGCGTTTTATTATTAATCGTATTACGAACAGTATTGATTAAATAAAAATGAAAAACACACAAAAATACTACGAAACTGAGAGTTAACAAAAAGACTGCCAGCCAAGACGAGACACAACGACTCGTTTGTTGAAGAGGCAACCGTTTGATTGCTGGATAGTGAAACCAGTCAACGTTTTCATTGAATATATAAAAAACAAACTGATGTGTGCGAGTAATAATGAGATTCAAGTGGGAAAAGTGTATAAGGAAGCTGTATACTCTAAAATGCAATCGAAAGCTCGGAAATGGAGGCGGCCAGGTGTGTGTATTTTGTAATAAACGTGCGTTCAGAGAGGATAACAGATCTCGCGTTGTTCACAAGGGATGTTAAAAAATGTCGACCTTGCTTTCACTTTTGTAAAGTCTTTTACGTTTCTCCAGATACTTTTATATATTATTACTGAATGAATTTTTTATTACACATTTTTCAATCTTACATTTGATCAATTAAATTAAAAGCTCAATTTTCTCTTCGAAATCAAGAGAGTAGGCGACCATCCCTTTGCAAGAAGAGACGATCGACGAGTAGCACGACGAACCTAAGAAAAAAAAGACACTGAGAAAACTGTATTTTTCGATGCGAGGAGTACGATTAGACCGCGTAGCTTTTAGAGGAACAAAACGAGGAGACGTGCGTGTGTTGTGGATGCGCTGGGTGCCTTTAGTGTTTTCTTCCCCGGGACTTTTGTAGGACCGTGCCTTAGGAAAACGATGAAACCGATTTTTTAAAAGGAGAAAAAACAAAGACAGATGCCAGATAACATACGATAATAAACGGTGACGCAGTCGTAGAAAGTTAGTGCCTTAACGGATCGCGTTCCAGGTATACGAAACAACGAAGATTCAGTCGCTAATGATAATGACTAACTAATTTTATCTCCTTTGTCGACAATATCCAAAAAATAGTTACTACGAATTTCAACTTGGAAATATTCAAGAGGCTTGCGACTGATATTGCGATTCACTTCAACTCTTTTTAGACAATTTTTTTAGCGCTTTAACGAGTCGAGCACCGTAGCTCGTTCACTGTTAAGAGACCCGTTTTTTATTTATTCCTTCTTAAAGCAAGACTGCACTTGGTCAATTCGTTTCATCCGAGGCTACGAATTAAAGAACAAGTTTCAAGGACCTATCATTTTATTTAAGAATATTTTCCTGTATAATTATTCGGCTTATCCAAAGTTCAACAAGATCGATCGATCATTATTTGCTACAAATTCGTATATAATTGTGAATAATAGAATCAGATAAGAAAACGGGTCTCCCCACCGATCCAAGACGAGCCACCCCGAAATCGAGTCCTAAACCTTTCGCCTATTAGTCTGTAGAATATCATTCCACTAGCAAGGTTACGCGTGTCAACGAAGTCGATTAGTCACATATCGATCCTCCCTAATCCTCTCGGGTGTCTCCCACAGTAATTCAACCAAATCGCGAAACCGTTCAAAACCATTTGCAAAAATGGAGTTCCACAAAGCTAGAAGTCCGGCTGTTGAATATTCCTACTGACTCCATAGACGTTTACTCCTTTAGAAAAGGACCTCCAACGTCTGGCGGGTCGAACATTGATTGTACGGGATTCTAGCTTGTAGGAGAACCTCGAGAGCCGAGCCCTTATAAAAACGAGTGCCATAAACGATGATGAAGTGTCACTCAACTGTGTATAGCGTTGAGATAACAAGAGGAACGTTGTAAAATATTTATTGTAAAGCTTGCGATTGATGGTGAACGGAGGGAACCTGAAAGTGGTGAATACCGCGAGGGGATCGAGCGTTCAAGCGGGCGCTAACACCCCAACCTCGATGGCTCATCGCCTAAGGAGGGAGTTGGAATGTAGACGAGAACAGAACGAGAGACCGTTTTCGGAACAGAGACGATGAACTGAGGTTGCCTTATATAACTATCGAGCCTATATTATATATAAATATATAAATAGATATATATTATCGTGAAGATCGTCGTGGACGGTTTTTGAGGAATATTAACTACGAAATGAACATCGTGTGCTTGAGCGAGTGGATGCGATTGGATGTGAGGTGAAAGAGAGCATGGAGAAAGATAACGTATACCAGTAGAAAGCGTACTATTATTTGAGAGACGTAGAGAGAATAAGAGAGAGAGAGAAATTTATCGTACGGTCATAGTATTAAAATATCTGCTGTATGGATGTAAGAGAAGAAAGCTATTATATAATTTTATCTATTATTATTAATTATTAATTAATATTCTCTATTATTATTATTATTATTATTATTATATTATTATTGTATTATTATTATTATGGATAAGTATCGGAACTACACATCTTATGTAGCTGTGATTTTGCTTTCGAACGAGTAAAAATTAAAAATATTTATAGCAATGAATGGTACCAAGCGAATAACTGCAAACTCAGTCCTAATTAATCCTTCGATTCTCTTTCCCTTTCGATAATTTAATTGCATTTGAATCCTACGGTGAAAAATAATGCTGGAATAAAAGTCGAATAGAGAGGGAACAGAATCACATCGCTCTTATTCCGTCTAATATTACTTCACTAAAGCTTAAGGGGGTAGACTCCGATAGCGGCGCGATAAGGGAGAATGTTACCCACAAAATTAGCCAAAAATATGGGTTTAAGGGACTAGACTTTTCGTTCTTATATAAGAAGATTCCAAGACAGAAGCAGAACATTCCATAGAAGAACTAGGTAAAATGTGGATTTAATTAAGATTGCTTTGAATGAAATCAAGACCAGCGCACGCTAGATTTAACTTTCCGCTTTCCAAAAATCTTCTTCAAGTACGAACAGTATAATCCGATAAATCCATATTTTGCCTGGTTATAAATAAATTTTCCCGTCAAATGTTAGAAAAGTCAGTGACTACCCCTTAAGTGTAATCAATCTAATCACAAGCCGAGGATGTTTGAATTTTATTTTTTCTGTGTCGGTATGACAATCGGACGAGAGACATGAGTTCATAAAGTGAAAAGTCTGTGCTAGAATCTTTGGATTTTTATATATTTTTTTCCTTCCTTAAGGATTGAATTAGTTTACGAAAATCAGCCCACAGTTTTCTGAACGCTTTTACCGAAAATTGAAACCGCGTTAACACGGCTGTGGTTCTTCAGGGGCTAAGAACGAGTATCACAGGTCATCGTGAGATGTCAGTAGCTACCTATTTACTTCCGAACTTTTAGTCACGTCACCGACGGAATCTTCGAATGGATCAAATTCAAAAATAGTAATTAAATCTATGGCAGTCATTGAAATAGATACAAGTTTATATTATATACACATTGGGAATTTATCAGTCTGTGTAGTTTGAAGATTTTTACATTTCAAGTATTTGCGGATTTATATAATTTTTAGTTCGAGGGAATGTTGTGGAAGATAGAAATGGAGGCGAGTAGAATTAACCCTTTCGCTACGGCAGTCCGTTCT